TACCTTCATCAACTGCAAGCTCTTGACTGTTATTTTGCTTACCTTTCAAACTAGCCCCTTCCACAAACTTCTGCAACCATTCCACTACTTTTGTTCCAGACAACAGAACAATAGCCCTCCTTGCTTCCCTTATCTTCAGACTCAGCTTTCCTCTACCTTTCTCTTCCTCAAACAGGAAAACCTTAGCTTCAACCTTCAGATTTCTTCTCCATCTTCCTGCCTCCACGAACCTTTTCTCCATTCCCAAGTCGGGACTTTGTTTTTCCCCTTCTCCTTAGAAACAGAGAATATTAATAGGTCCCACCTAAGCGATGGCAGGGAAAAATTTGTTTTCGAAAATGAATTCAACTGAGCTTTTTACATAAATAATTGGATGGTTGCGGTAGGTTGGGGATGGGTACACATATCATGTTGGTTTCCATGTAGACACTCTCCTAGAGGGCGCATACACTACTAGATCCTGTTCCTCTAGATCTCTCACAAATTAGGTGCACTGAATAAAACCAAATAAACTGGTAAAGAATTTAACGATCTAACAACAGAGAAGAATTTCATTGACTAAATAGGAAATTAATTTTAGATTTCAACCAGTTGGACAAAGTTGAGAAGATGTAGAAATCCCAATCTCTTCCAGTATTACTTCAACAGATTTTTTGGGTAAGGACCTGCAGCAGATCTGATGAGGCTCTATATTTCAATCAGATGCATCAGACGCACAATCTTACATGGTGAGTAATAAAAGAATAATAGACAGCAAAAATAAATAGGAAATAGTGAGTGATAAATAGGAAACCAGATGCACAATCTGATGAGGCTCTATATTTTTCAGGAGTTGATGGGTAAATCTTTACAGAAGCAAGTAAGCATATGATGAGGTCAAAATTTTAATTAGATGGAACAACTCCCACTTGGAATAAACCGCTACCTTGCTGAAACAAAAACCAACTTACCAAGAACCTCCCTATATCTAGGAATAAACCGCTACCTTGCCTATCCAAGACAGTTTGATTCAGACAGCAAAACTTAAACAACACAGTAAAAATAAAATAAAAAATAAAAAATAAAGAAAAAACAATTCCAAAAACTATGATAATAAGAAAGCTCTAGCAACATGGATACCAGGTCTTAAGGCAGCTGGATTGAGGCAAGAAACCTGGGGAGCACCCAGAACTAATTAAAACACTTCAGACAATATGAAAACAGATAAGAATTACTAGGTCAAATGGCTAGATGGTTCATGTAATACCACAATTACAGTTATAATATCCACAACATCCCTCAGAATGCCTACTATCAATCTGGCATGAAATCCCAGTTCCTCAACCTCTGCAACAAGGATGCAAAGGGAACACAGTTCCTCAACTTCTGCAATAAGGTTGCAAAGGGAGCACCAATCTTTCAAGATTTCAAGCAAAGCTCAGATTACTAAATATTTCATCACTGAAATGTGGAGTTTTTTTTTATTTTTTGAAGAGTAAAATGTGTGGAAGTATGATAACATAGGGACTAAGGCAATCATAAACATATATGGCAGATTCAAACCATCTAATGTAGGGGATTCTCTGGATAGTCCACGTGTTTAATCCTCCAGTCTACATCAACCCTATACCCAAGCTCATGATTATGATTGCTCCAATTTTTCCCATAAAGGTCTTATTGTGTACAGATGGTAAGTGTTCTAGGCTGAAATTTGCCCCATGAATAGAGGTTTGCCAGAGGAAATTGCATGTTGCTTTTGACCCCCCCCCCCCCAACTAATTGCCACATTGGGCATTCCTTAATGATTAGATATCTTCATTAAATGATCTAACCATTTAGCGAGATTCCCTAAACAGCTCAGGAAAATAAAGTGTTTATTCATGGAAAATAAAGTGTTTCCACCCAAAAGACCTTGTCATATCTGCAAAATAAGTCTTATTTTTATGGAGAACATTTTAATCTGACACATACTCTAGACAACCTTTTATACATCCTCTTAATAGAAATAGAATTTTTCATGGATCTTAATAGAAAGAGATTTAAAAGCAAACATGTCCTCACGGACCTCACCTCATACCATTCCCTATAACATTAAAACCTATACAACTTAGTTACCAAAACAAAGCTTTAATATCTATTTTAGGCTCACAAGTTCTCTCCTTAAATCTTATTACTAGATAGTTACTAAAACAACAGGGAAAGAACTACCACTACTTAAAGTGGCACTTCAAAATCTGAAGCATTGTGACTAATGTCTGAAACTAATCAGATTAGTAGCCATTCCCACATTCAGTACATTTAAATATACCCCTGAAAGGCTAACTTAAATCTAAGGTTTTGCTCTGATCAACAAGTGATTGTATCACCATGGCACCACCTATGACTTATTAGTGGTGCAAGTATTTTTATAGTTGGGATAAGGCTTGATGATAAGTGTTTTTTATAGTAAAGAAAACTCATTAAAAGGAAAAACTCAAGAATAGATGATAAAATCACCTAGGAAAATAAAAGGAAAGGCACAGCCCCACCAAGGCACCAACAACTCCAACCCCAGAAGCAACATTCAACAGAGTATAATACAACAATGACAAATTTTAGCGGACATTTCTGACATGTTTTGATTTTTGAAACCATGGAAAAAAACTCAGTGAATAACCCCATTTATTAAAACATATGAAGTGGGCTTGGAAAAGACCCTTGGCATGGCAAGTCAAGATCCACAGCACTAGTAGTTTACAGAAGAAAAGGTTGTATTTGGAGATAATTTATATCTTAAGATATCTAAAACTTGAGATGAGAAAGAAAACCACTATTATACATTCACCTTCGTTTAATATTCAGCATGTATTTGTATTTTGTCTTTACTAACTACTTATTAATCTTTAGAGGATGCACTAATATTGGAAATTTATACTAAGTTGTATTAAACCTTTGGTTTCTCAATTGCTAATTGCAAATTTATTTCCATTGGAATCTTACCATAGCAGCATATTTACATTAAATCAGAAAGATTTTTTCCTTTGATTAGAAAAGGATGAGATTCAATCCCATACAAAATAGCTGTCAGTAATTAAACACAGCTTCTATTAAGAAGTGGCCAAGCCTTCTCACCTTAATAAGTGGTAAAGTGGTCGCATCTTACCATGAGGCTTGGCTAATCCAATGACCTGGTAAACTGACTCAGGGAGATTCATAAGGTTTTCCTACCATGAATAATAAATACAACCAAAGTACCACCTTGGTAAAGTGGTTGCATCTTACCATGAAGCTTGGCCAATCCAATGACCTGGTAAACTGACTCAAGGAGATTCATGAGGTTTTCCCACCATGAATAAAACAACCAAAGTACCACCTTTAATAAGTGGTGAAGTGGTTGCATCTTACGATAAGACTTGGTCAATCCAATGACCCGGTATGCTGACTCAGGGAGATCCATAGATTCATAAGGTTTATTCTGTTTTCACTGTAATATCTAGGAATCCCTCTCCAAGGGATACTTGTAACAGCTTATATTTATCTGATTAATGAAATTATGATTCAATTATCAAAAAAAAAAAAAACAAGAGTTAATGAAAACAGATCATATAGCATAAGAAAATGATGAGCAAGATAAAGAAAAATAATTGGAAAAGTAACATCACCAGAACACTTACCAAAAAAAGTAACATCAAGAAAACAAGAAAGTTATGAGAAGGAAATTAAATCCAATAAGATAAGCTATGAATGAACTTCAAAAATAGAAGGAAATTGTTCACCACTTTGTCTTTTTATTGTTGTAGCCAACAGGGAAATAACTTTTAGCCACCAACTATAGAAAATAGTTCCAACAGCACAATAAAAAACATACATTATTAAGTTCTTAAAGAAGCTAAATGGACATACCCATTTAAGATGGTAAAAACTCCCATTTACATAAGCAGCACGCTATTTTCTGCCAAAATGTGCATGGAATAATTATATGAAGTATCAAAAATAAATTCCAATAACAAATTAACTAAGCAGTAATCTAAATAACCATACTCACTTTGCTCTAACTTTTGTTCGTGTCTTTCTGACAGGATTTTCTGGCTGATGTACATACTGAGTGTTCACTTTCATTTCTTCCAAGGCATTCTTCTCTCCTGATTCAGCTCTATTTCCTGCAGCTTCAATTTTTTGGATCTTCTGCTTCTCCAAGATTTCAAGATTTTTCTCTTCAGTCAGGTTTTTGGTACTTGGTGCTTCATTTGATGCTTCATCAGCCTTGTCTTCCACATTAATTTCTCCACTTACAACCTTTTCCCTGGCTTTGCCAGCAAGTACATCAACCTCCATATCTAAAACTGTGGTTTTTGACTTCACATCATCATTGTTGTTTCCACCTGAAGATTTTGAGACACCGTCTTTTGCTTCCTTCACTGCCAGTTTTTTCTTTACATTAGCCAGCTTCTTCAATGGTTCAGTTTCACCCACCTTAAGCAGATCTGCTTTCACAATATTCCCACTTACCTTACCAACATTGGAATCTTTTTCATCAAAGTTGCTTTCTGGTTTGGATGCTTTCACTTCATCAGATATTCCATTGGCTTTCTCAGATGGTACTTCTGAATTAAATACAACTTCATCAGGATTTTTCGGGCACTTGTCTTCCTCGGGTTTTTCCACATTCGTTTCACCATGCACTGATTTCTTCTCAACTTCTTGTGGTATATCCACATCCATACTGGTATCTGGTTTGTCCACGTCCTTCCCAGTATCTTTTGTAGCCGTCGCTCTTGGATGTCTACTTTTTGCAGTTTTTGATGCAACTTTTCTCTTAGTGCCAGTGCACCTTTTCACTGGTTCAGCCCCATCATTATCTTTACTGTTACTAATACCCTTTTCTTTCTCTGGATTATTGATTTCACCAGGCAATCCAATGACCTGGTATCTGCTTTGTCCACTAATGCTTTTAGCATGTGCATCCAACTCCATATCTTTAATCGGGTCATCCATCTTCAAATCCTCAGTACCTTTTCCACTTGGCAAATTCGAACTCCTCTTTTCATATTTTGACTCCATTTTTTGCTTCTTCTGTGCATGCTTTATAGGTTCAGCAGTATCACTAACCTTAAGCCCTCCTTTTTTTGTCTTTATTCTGACCCCATCACCATATGAACCCATTCCTTTCTTCTCATTGAGCTCAGTTTTGGACAATAGGGTGAAAGCCTCACTAGGTGAAACCTCAAGCTCAAACCTCTCTTTCTTCAAATCCAATTCCTCCTTATCACCATCATCATAGAAAATCTTGTGGAGCTTATTCCCATTATCAAACGATTTGATGCGCCCAATAAACCATCTTCTTGATCCAGACCAGAAAATCTTCACTCTCTTCCCAACTATCCTGTCAAAGTCACTCTCACTCAACACAACTTTCTGAAAGGAAGGCACATCTTTTCTTGGCCGTAGCCTAGATGTGCCTTTCTCTAATGACAACAAGAATGATGATGCTATTTCAGCATCTGCACCTCGTTTACTTCTTCTTGTTGGAGTCTTTGCTACCTCCACGTTCTCCACCTTGGGAACATATTCCCTTACAGAACTTTCAGACTTACCAACCTTAGAATTATCAACTAAACTGCTTTTTCCTGTCATGGACTTATTTCTCTTGGCCTCTTTAACTACACCTTTACTTGTCATTTTGCCCCCATTATCTCCCCCTGGAGCATTTTTACCCTTCATATCACCACCTCCAACACCTGAATCATTCTCCTCCTTGGCATTTAAACTTGCATTTCTCCCCTTAGGCTTATCACTTTCACTATTAGCCTCTTTAACTACACCTTCACCTTTCATTTTGCACCCATTATCTCCCCCTGGAGCATTTTTACCCTTCAAATTATCACCTCCAACACCTAGATCATTCTCTTCCTTGGTATTCACACTTGCATTGCTCCCCTTGGACCTATCACTTTCACTATTATTTCTATCTAAATCCTCAGCAACCTTGTCACCACTCTTCTCATGCTCGATCAATATCTTTTCTTGTGCTTTAGCTTCTGCATCTTCTGTTGTGCTTTTACCACCAGCTCCCTTCTTAACTACCGATCTACCTTTTCTCTTCATCTCTAAAACTCTACACTAATCAAACTTCAAGCCTATCTATCAATAAGCTTCCATATAACCCCAGCAAAGAAAACCAGATAAACCCCCAGTCCTGCAAAGCCCAAAAAAGAGGCAAAAGATACCGTAAGGTTACTCAACAAATTAACTTTTAGGAACATCAAAACCCCAATAGAATTCAAAAATATTCCAAATTCCAAACTCTAGAAAACCCTAAACCTTTAAAGTTTACAGGCCCTTCTTTTTGTTTTTTCTGGCCTGTTTGTACATCCCTCCCCTCTTTTTTTGAATATAAGTTATCTTTCTCTTCAAAATAAATAAATAAAGTTTACAGAATTCACAAACTTATCGCTACAATAAAACCATGAAACTACAGGACTCAATTTTAAAACCATACGAAATAGCTTTCAGTGCTCTACCGAGCAAAGAAAAATGATATTGCCGAAAATCCCAAGTACAACAAAGTTTATAGTAATACTAACCGGGAAAAAAATGAACAGAAATATAGTTCAATACAACCCAAGAAATCCTAATAGAAGAACGCAATCCAAAACCAGAACAAAAACCAAGTTTCTGAATACAACAGACCCCAAACTGAAATGCACAAAAAATAAACCCTAACCTTCAGAAAAAGCTTTCATGCCCACTGGAAACCATTGATGCTACAATCCAAATCCAACTTTCCCTAACAAAAAGAAAATAATAAAAGACAAACAATACATTTGCAAGAAACCCTAGTTTCTAGTTAGTCTCAGCTTGATAAAACACAGAATGAACAAGAAACAAAACCAAAAAAAAAAAAGATTTTTCTGAGTATACCTTCGGACAGCTGCAATTTCCTTTCACTACTTTGGGTTCTGGTATGCCAATCTGCTGTAAGGAACCCAAAGCAAACCATGTCAGCTACAAAAAGGAGCGGGAGCTCTCAGAATGATCGACACGTGGCTAGGGGGTGATTTGACTGTTATAGTAACGTTCTGGTCGTTTCCTTTTTTTGCCGAAATCTGGTAGAGGATGAGGATGAATTGATGAAGGCCTCAGCCAAAGCAGGAATGAATTTAATTTAGTGGGGGGAGTGTTGGCGGGCTTTCTAACCTTGGGACATCCTTGGTATTTCGAAATTTCCGTAGATTGGAACCCTTCTTTTTAAGGGAGTGAACTAGTGAATTCTGAACAAATAGATTAAAAGCTTCCTTTTAATCTAGTTTTCTATCCTGATCATTCACCAAAAATAGAAATTCGGCAATTAACATCAGGAAAATTGGAAAACGATATCAGAGCTTTTCAGAATGAAGTCAAATAAAAAAAAGGAATGGGAAAGTAGCAACAAACAATTAAGAATTATGGCCTTGGACACTTTCCGATTTTAATAGCTCTTAATATTAATGGTAAGATATGTTTTGTAGAAAGTAATAGTCGAATTAGTTAGTTCACATGACTGAAAGTAGATTAGTTGAAATAGTACTTTGCATGATAAAGAAATGGTAAAGTAAAACTTGATTTTGATGAAAGGATTCAGGCTTTTTGAGGCAATGCATTAAAGGATTCAATGCTTGGTAACCTTTTACAATCTTCCTGTGATTAGAGTTGACCCAATCCAATCAACGCAATACTATGAAACAAAGTTTGGGTCTACAATTTGAGCTTCAATTATCAACTGGTTGGTTTTCTGGATCCACATTTTGAGTTTAGATTATGGTAGAGTTGAGACAGGTTTAATCTATTCCAACCTGATTAAGAGGACTCCGGCTCTCCTACCCAGGCCTACCCATAAAACACTATCTCCACATCTCCTGTGCATAATAAGCATATTAACATGTAAGAAAAAGATGCTCTTCATCTGGAGTCTGTATTCAGTCTATCTGAGGTGGGTCAAATCTGACGATTGATAGTTTTATCTCTCATCCTCACAGAGTGCACAGCACATGTACATCTCAGCGTGCATTAGGAACATTTCCCTTCTCACATTCAAGAGAGATTCCTAATACATAGTTGGGATGTGCTATGGGGCACTTGTGGGGAGCGCTCTATGACAAACAGATGTGAATACAAAAAAATTATCTCTAATTTACTTTTGAATGATCAACAGAATAATGACAAAATTAAATGACTCAATAGGAAGTTGTTTTCAAATGCAAACCATGAAAGTTATTTTGAAGTTGTAAAATTGAAAGAAATGCAGAAAGTAGATCAAAGAAGCATGAAAAAAGGTTGAATAATTATAATTTATAACATTGCTTGTTTAAGTTGAATATGTCAGCCTGATGAAACACTTATTTACATGTTCTATTTCTAATAGCACCCATGCAATGGTAAAAACTGTGCTTTGTACATAGTAGGCCAGAATGATGCTTTGGATTTGGTACACAGATAAAGTAAGACAATTAAGGATTATTTTCAAGTTAACAGCAGAAGTTTGTTCCCATACAAAGACTAAACATCTCCCCTCCTTTTGATTGTGTATATGTTTGAACAAAATAATGACACTAATTTTCACACCCATACAAAACTAAAAGCAAATATATATGGGGGAATATATATATATATATATATATACATAAACTGTGATAGCCATTCACATCCTCTTTTTTTCGCTTGAACATGTTTTGCTTCAATTAGAAAATAAGAACTGTCTAGATTTTTTGTTCTATATGCTCTGTTTGGAATGAGTACAAATACATATAAAATAATACAAAATACAAGGTTTTGCATTCTACAAATTTGTATTTGTACAAAATTTGGAAAGAGTGCAAATACAAATATGTTTAATGCAAAAACATTGTGGATGGTATTTCCAAACCTTTTGTATTTTTACAACATTGATGTTTTTGCTTTCATTTGTTTTTGAAATTGCCACATCAGCCATAAATGAAAAGTACATGTTATTGAACTGTGTTTTTTTTTTGAAAAGCAAAAAAAAAAAAAAAACATGTTGGTTTTTATTTCAGAAGACAATACTGATGTTTTTTATAACCAAAAAAAAATGTAATATGCAAATTACATAATTTATGTAGCATTATATTTAAGTAGCCAAATGAAAACATGTTCTTTGAACTAGAAATCTAATAACCTGTTTTAGGTCCCGGTTTTGAAAATAAAAATAAAACATATATAACCAATTAAGAACATGATTTTTGTGTGATCGTTTTAAAAATTAATTTGTTTCCAGACCAGCTGATTTTGCTTTGTTTTTGCCTTTTTAGAACAACTTCTTAAGGAATAAATTTCTACCTACCCATTTATTTATAGTAACAAATTGAATAGTGCAAATATACCTCATACTAAATTTGAGCATTCAACTACAGTATATTCATTAATATTAATTAGATATTAAATATAAATCTCAACCAATCATATTAAAATCTACTTAATTTTCATTGGTTCACTTTTTACAAAGTGTACTTTCACCTTTAAGAATGAATGCTTATCAACCATTAAATCACAGTTTACATAATAAAGAACTTTAACTAAATATACGAAGCATAGGTAAATTTTAGCATTAGAAGATGACGTCTATGTGCCCCCCACCCCCCCCAAAAAAAGGACAATCTTTATTGAATGAAGGGAATGGTAAATAATAATCATTCGATCTAATATGATTATAGTATGTTAAATAACTTTCGGTAGGTGTGAAGGAAATATTTGAGTTTGGACTGAATAAATTTTGAACTCACAAAATTACTGAGACTTTCATGAAAGCTAATTACCCAACTAAACAGCCCCGCAGAATGATAAGTGGATTTGAGATTTGAAAATGGGCATCCCTATATTTTAATAATGCCTTGTGATCTTCTCTTTATCAATGGCATTATTATTGATAATTATGAGAATTTCAGTAGTTATATATTTCCATTTATGAAGGAGAAATTTTGATATTTAATATCTTACAACAGAGGCGAATTAAGATGATCAGTAGTCTTTGATGATGAAGCACACATCTTGATTATCTATTTATTAAAAATTTATTGGGGAAAGGGGATGTGAAGTAGTGAATCTAACTCAAAATAAAACAGGAGACATTCACAAGTCGGCATCAGCAATTAATATCCAACATTTAATTTTAAAGCCTCATTAACTTTCTATACAAAGAAATTAAGCTTAGATTGCAGAAAGAGAGAAGAGAAGAATTGTAGAATTAATGAAAGGCTAATTAATAGATTGAAAAATACTGAGTGGGGCGAACCTGAAGATGATATTCTTAAATTTTGTCATGCTCAAAAAGGCGAATACAGTGTTAAACTATTTTCTTTTTCTTCTTTCTCTCATTTGACACTGACAAGAAGCCTGCAGATGATATGAAAAAACAACACATCGTATATGGAGCAAACAGATACAAATGACAAACTTAAGACTTAATATTTTTGTCAAGTTCAGTGGGCATATCAATGAACAATAAGTACAAACACCTGCGCGCATGTTGTTCTTCTCAAAAGCTAAAATTAGAGATTGACGTACAAGGTACAACCTTATTGATCACTAGCATCAATTAAGTACTCATACTATGTCAAGACTATGATGATTTCAACAACACGGGTGTACTCATCATACTCTGAATGAATTGGAGCAATTTGCGTTCATGATGATATGATGGTGGCATAGATTTGTGTATCTGAACATTAATTTGAAAGTCCTTTGCAGCATATACCACACAAATGCAGTTACTTTCCGACTGTTCATAAGGGCTGGGGAGGTGTGTTCATTTACTGAAATCCTGAAACATTCTCAGAAAACCAGAATGGAATCATTTCGCCCCACATGGTATCCAAATGCGCTAAATTGACAATAGTAGTTCTCTAGTTATAAAAGTAAAAAAATGAAATATCAAAGATAACAAACACAACACCTTTTATTACAAAGAACCAAAGTAGTTCTCTAGTTATTCCATTCTCTCTCTCTCTCTCTCTATCTCTACATACATATATAGTATCAGTTAAACAAAAACAGATACATGCCATCATACATCCATTGCTGACTAACAGACCACCTACATGACCTCCACCTTTTTCTCTAACAGTGATAACATTTTCCTTAATCGTTATTTCCATATCTACTACTTAAACATGGATTCCTACAGGCCATCTATACATCTCTTTGTCTGGGACTGGAAGGTTAAATGTCAGTAGTCCGGTGTTGGAGTCATAATTGAACTCAGTCTCCTTATTTTCTACAATGCATTTCAGTGGACGCTGGGACGAGTAAGCACCAAATCTGCCGCATCCCCTGACTCTGAGAACTATTGTTGCAGTTGGTGACCGGCTTTCACTGAGGCAACTTGCAATCTCAGACTGAACTTCACCATCAAAGAGTTCTGGTTTCTTGTCATCAGTAGCCATCTGGACGTCGAATTGCTCCACAGCTCCACCGGTGTTGAACATATCAAGCAGGCCAATTGGTGCAAAGGAGATGTTGGATGTGATTTCCTACATTACAGAGCAAAGAATTAGCTTTTCCTGACACATACACCAAGTAAGATGAATGATAGAAGTCAGCTCAACCTAAGATGGGATTAGGGTGGGGCTCACCTTGAGGGGGCAGAAGTGGAAAAGTTCAAATTCCAGAACCTTGAGGGTCACTGGCAGTGAAGCACCTTTTGGTAGCCGAACCACCTCCCCTGCAATGCAGAAATGAAATAACTAATATTAATAATTTCTCAAAATAGAAAATAAATGGTGGGTAAGCTACAGATAAACCTTGCTCACCTGATCTATGTGCATACGCGACAACATCACCATTCCAATTGGATCCTGCAACTTGAGAAAGAAGGTCAACATCTGTAGCACACACAGACCCAGTGAGTGTACCAGGAGATGCATCGTGAATGCATGTCTTCTTGGCGATCTTGCACCACCCAGCACCTTGGCAGTTGAAGACACCCACCACACCAGAACATTTGTTCATATTCCAAATTTTGAGCAAGCTGCACATGGTAGATTTCCACACCTTTAGTTTGCTTTTGTTTTAACAAGTATTGGTTAACTGAAATGTTGAATAGCAGTGAATGGTGAAAATGGGATTATGAAAATGTAGAGCAGTAAACCTGGTTCCATCTCTGGCCGGATCAACAAAGAGGCAGTCGCAGGTAGGTCTTCCTGGAAGTTGAGCACGCAGTACTGATCCATCAGGAAGGACCAATTTCCTCAATAGCTCAAAGTTGTGGTTGCCAGGCTTGTCACTGTAAGGTAAATAGTCACAAGGCACCATATACTTCAGGTTCAGTTGAAAAGTTCACAGACAATGAAGTTTTACGTTGCAGCCAAGTTTAGTCTCTTCTGTAGTGAATATACCTGACATAGATTGCGCATCCACCAATGGCTCGAGCTGCACCATGATACTCTGCAGCAGGGTGTAGACTCTGGCACAGTAAAGGGGTTCACTTTGTCAGTACCATGGAGTTGAACCACCTCTAGAACTATTACTTATCAGTTGAGGACTACTAAGTTGACGTTAGTTTTGTTGATAATGGAAGAATTGGACTTATTTATACCATTCAATTTGAAATTTGAAGCAAAAACAAATTAATGAACACTAATAGTAGTATACTTTCAGGACATGTTATGTGATCCATTAGAACTTACATGGAACATATCCCAGTCAGGCTGCATGAGTTCTCCCAGGAAAAGGGTGTTATACGCCACTGATGAGATATGGATGGTGTGAGAAGCAGGGTCCCTAGGGTAGAAGTCATCAGATGCTCTCACAACGGCAGTCTGCTTGGCACTGTATATACCATCGGTATTGTGGCACATGCAAGCAATGCATCCATTATCAGGGAAGTTGCGAGAGATGGAAGCTTCAAGGGCCTGATGATAGCTGCGAGTAAGACTGACACGGCCACCATGACCAGCACCAAGGGTCTCAATGATGTTCTGTACATCAACCTTAACACCATCTACCCCGCATGAAGCCAGGTAGGCATGAAGCTCATTGTAGAAGTTGAAGACCTTCTTTGGGTGTACGAGTCCAAGCCCATGCACAGCGAGGCTATCCATGACAATGTCTGGTTGGTTTCCCAATACTCCTGGTGACTGCACTGGGTATGCCAATGCACTGTCGTAGTGCTCCATGCCTGCAGCAGCTGGCTTCACACCACCCCAGTAACCAGCTAGAGCATGCCAAACATAAACAAATCTGCACAACAGCTCAAGCTCGTTAAGAAGAATATAAAAATTTAAACAAAGTTTTTATACATATATTTACATTATAAGTATGTAATGGCATATCTCCAAAGCCCAGCCGAGGCCCATATAAGCCTTCCCCCAGGTTATATATTTTATGTCTGGATATGGGCTGGACCAGGCCCAGGCCCAGGCCCAGGCTATAGCCCTTATTATAGGTGCTAAACCCGACCCCTACGATCTCACATTCTTGGTCCTTTCTTCCAATTCCAAACAGTGTAATGCTAACAACCTTTGTCGGGCAATCTATATCAAATACTGGTATATCTTTTTTCTTAATAAGTAAGCTTTAAATTTATATTGAAGACTATCAAACACTAGTATATATATATATATTTTTTTTTATAAGTAAACTTTTAAAGACGATAATCAAAAGATAAGTTCAACCAAGCGGGAGCATTCTCCCAAACACTAGTATTTCTCTATAACGCCCAAAGCGCAATTACACTATCCCATTTGTTTTTCATTTGGGCCCTTGCCTTTTACTTTTTCCAATTCAAATGGGAAACTATACCAGTAAGCCGTGAACCACCAAACCACCGGTTGCAGAATGGGAAATTTTCTTTTTTTCTTTCTGGAGTCGGGACAACTAGGAGATAACGTAATAATGCAAAACCCAAAGTCAAAGATAGCTATACGAGGACTCATTAGACATACTAGTGGCCAAACACCCTCTACGCACTCGGCCGGTCAGCCTGTGGACTAAAAAATGTGTAGCCAAACAGAAGAAAACAAAAGAAAAAAAAAAAAATCATGGGGAACTTACTTCACGTTGTGATGTTCCTTAGCTTCCTCCACAACATGCTTTAGGCCGGAGACTTGCTCGCCATTCTTGTCATTCTTTTGGAATTTTGCATTCTCTTTTATTCCTGTTAATCTGCTAGCGAATCTGGCAAGAATCAATTTAGCAGTGAATCTCATATTCTCATAAAAAATTCAAATTATTAGCTAGGAAACAAATTAATTAGTACGAGCATAAAAACAAGAGCCGTGATGTCTTGAATTTATTTCCATGGCTGGCATGACTATGTTGCATTTGGGGGCCGCAATCGCAAGAGAGAAGAAAAAGCTTACTGTGCTCCTTCTTGGACGACGCAATTAACATCATTCTTTACTTCGCTGCCAATTTGTTGCCAACCATCGTCGATGATAAGAAAACGTGGAGGGGTCCCTCCTTCGGACAGGCTGCAATAATTAGGAATCAAGTTGGTCAACAATATTTTTGACACCTATTGTGTTATTTTCCCACTATTAATTATTTTTCTGATTATACCTTGTGAGGCCTTCAACGACTCCCTCAGCTGTAACGTCAGTATAGAAAGCATCCCACGTGCACCAACCGAACCAGTCAAGGAAAGATGGCAACTGAATTGCAATAAGGATATCAATTAGAAGCTCTCTAACCTTGCTCTGTTCCGAAGTAAGAGCCTTGATGGAGTGATCAAAGAAATAGAGAAAAGGAGCTCATACCTTTTTCTTTTCTCGGTGAAGGAAAGTTTGCATGTGTTTTTCCACGGCCCTGTGACATCAAAAGAAAGCTTCGTTAAGAATGAGTACCATATATACAAGGCTTATAACATTATAACAATTACAAAGGCATACACAACAAAACTCAGAAGAGACCATTCTTTATACTGATGGATCCTAGCTATATGCCTAGTGCACATAGATCAGTGTCTTAATAAAACGTTCATGCAAAGTAATAGCAGCACAGAGCTCAAGAACCTCAGCCCAAACTCCTACTGAAGCAGAATGGCTGGCTTTTATCTGGGGAATAAAAGAAATGCATATCAAGTGCCTCCAAATTCGATGTGATGCTATGTATATAGTTCATGTTTTAAATCATCCCTCTAAGCATTGCTTGGAGAGATAAGCTGTACAGGGATGAATTTCTGAACTTGATTAAATACTTCGAGATATGATATGTCATACATGTAAACAGAAATCAGAATGATCTAACTCACACACTAGCTTATAAAGTCTGCAAGGAGGGAATCAATCTGCAATATCAACTACCGCCTCAAGGCTTGGATGTAAATATATTCAGAAATATCCTTCAATGAAGTTTTTATTTGTTGTATTTGCCGACAATAAAACATTATAACAATTGCATTTGAAAGGGCAAAAAAAATAATGAAATTCCCCTTCTAAGTGAAAAAGCTAGTGATTTGGAAGAACAATGAAACGGACTTACTTTACAGCTTGGTTGATGACTTCGAAGGGGTTGGTCCCAGCATGCATGTAAACAAGGTGAAGGCCTTGATTGGTCAGAACAGCATTGTCTCCTGCAAAACAATCACAGCTCAGACACAGAAAATACAGTCGTTCCGGTTCATTCAAACGTCACCCTCTAATTTGTTCTCCAACAGTCCAACTAACTAAATCCTATGGTCTCCATAAATTTGATTCTTATTTGATTGATTGAATTCTTCAACTTCGAATAGTTGTTGTTGTTGTAGGCATGTTATAACAGAGTAAGAAGTGTTACGACAGCTCAACCCTCCCCCAATGTCGTGACGGTTCGTCTAGAATGGATCATGAATTGGATGGGTTCTTGATAGGGCTGTTGACGGGTCGATTCGGTTTGATTTTACTTGATATTATCAACCGAACCAAAAAAGTCGGGTTATCATTAAGAGCAATCGAAACCGACCAACAACTAAAGAAAACCGATTTCTTTTTTCATTTTACCTGAAATCAGTTTAATCGGTTTTAATTAAATCGAACCGTAATTAATGTTTATTTAAAAAGGTCAATTGTTGATTGGCCCAACCTTTAAGGGCTATGCCTACAATTATTGCTAGCCTATAACTATGCAAACTATACCTATAATTACATGTTAGTCGACAGTCCGTCATGGAAAAAATCTGTCAAAATTGTCCTTCGCCAGATTTACTAATGTGTCAATATAGTCAAATAGTCAAATGTATTGGACATGGAATGCAGTGGCTGTAAAACTAAGAAAAGACTAAAATCATTATGCTTTTTAATTTTTCACATATACATGAAAAGTTTTCCATCGGTTCGGATAGGTTTAAAGTCGGATTACAAGGTCAAAAACCGCATCTGAACCAAATTGTCGGGTTCTACCATTTTTTAAACTAAAACCAATCGACTGTTTTTTAGAAATGACAATATTAGGTCGGGTTGGTTCGGTTTGATCGGTTTAATCGATTTACAATATATTACGAACAGCCCTAGTTCTTGAATACTCACCACTCTCGAGGCAAATTTCGATCTCATTCTTCTCGTTGCCTTGGAGAACGGCACGGAACTGGCCTTCCAGGAGAGGGAGGAGGACGGTGTAGATGACTAGGGATTCCTCCTGGTTTCCCCCTTCGACGGTATCTTTGCTTTCTATGAGCATGAACTGGGTCTCCAAGGGAACATCCTTCCCGCAGGTTCCCATTCTCTGAGTCATCCACCATAGCTTGAATCGGAAACAGCACATGAATCGAAAACCCCTATTAAGAATTTGTTAATTAACCGTTAAGTGCACAAGCGTAAATCATATTTTTCGAAGTACAGCATAAAAGAAAGAGACAAGTTATGGGAAGTACTACATAAAAGTACATGTATTGATGCATGAAAAAGAGATCCATTTATAGAGGTATCATAGAGTTTGGGAAATTTTTCACATTCGATTGTTTGGTTGGGAAAATTATCTCTAATAAAAATTACTAATTAATTAATTAACAATATTTATTCCTATTTAATATATTTTTAATGGTTATTATTTAGATATTAATTAATATTTTAATTTTCTTAGTTTATTTTGTAATTAATTAACAACTTTACTATTTTATTATTTATTAGTGATAATTATTAATTTATTAATTAATCAATTAATTCAGTTATTCCATTATTTTATTAAATAATTATTAATTTATTAACTGGTTACAAGTCTAATATTAACTCTTAAAAGTACTTTAAGGAATGTACTTTTTTTATTATGTTAAAAAAGTTTCCTCCTCCTTTCCCACTTGTTTCACAACAAAATGGTGTGATTCCACTTTTCAAAAATTGAGAATTGAAATCCCAACTTTTTCCCATCCCATAGCTCATAACATCTCACAAACCAGACATGGGAAGGATATTTAAGAACATTCCTTTTTTTCTTCCCATAGCACAAACCAAACTGAACCTAATAGACAATGATTCAAATCATAATCTTCTTTTGAAATGATAGGTGAGGCAATGACCAAAATAGCCTTCATGAAGAAAATTTGTACCTATTAAGACTTTAGCATGGGATAATGTGCAATTCTATATCAAAGATTGAAAATGTGGACTTACTCTAAGATACCAATGGGGAAAACATGAAGGCTTTTGCTAGAGGAGGCTGTGGCACCAATGAAAGCACCAGCGAGAAGTCCAGCACCAGTTCCGGGAGTTAGGATGATGTTGTCCGACACACCGGTCAATATGGTTTTCCCATGAACAACCAAGTTCCCATCATTGATGGAGATATTCGGTGTCACCGTCATCTTTGTTTGTTAATATAGGCTTCCAATAAAAACAAATAGCATTAGCATCATACGAACCATCAAAAAGAAAATAGAGAATAAAATTTTCACTATGGAAATCAAAAAAGACCATGTTATTTTCTTTTATTGAAAAACAAACTGCAGCTATCATGGCCCTTTAATGATCTTATTCTTTCATTATCTATACTATATAAAAGATATACATGCTTTAAATTTTGTGTAAGTTATAAAAATTAAATTCAAATATCATATAAAATTAATACTTACTTAAAAAAAATAAATTTAAAATTCAAACTAAAAATGATCATTTACGGGTTGGCCAGACCTACATTATGTTATAAAATATGTAAACTTAATATATCATATATCGAAAATCATAAGCCTCCAATGAACCAAATGACCCACTAGCCGACATGGTCACCAAGCATCTCTTCAAATGTGACATCTTAGAGTCAAACCCATGTAACTATAGGCTCTCCGTGGCAAGGTCAGCACAACTAATGTGCATCTTGCTCAGCAACATGATCACTCTTAATCCAAACTCAGCACAAACCTATTTTGATTAGGATTAAGAATTCAACCACATAGGTTTGGTTAGGGTAATGTGAAAAGATATGGTCTAGGGGTTTTATTCCAAAATTAACATAGCTCTCATATCACATAGACCCCATACCTTCTTCCAACCAAATTAAGAGCAGGGTTTTGTTTCTTTGATAACCCATGCCCTTTCAAAAACTTCCATTCATTTTGCAGGATGAAAATAGTTCCATTCATTTTTATGGTTACGAAGCCTTTGTTTTCTTTTTCTATTCTTTTATTTTTATGTAAAAATTGTTTACTAAGGTCTCATTTGTTTACTAAAACAAGAGAGGGAAGTTGATAGGTATCTATTTTCTATTAACCAATTTTACAGTATTCTTTTAACATTATGTGAATTTCATTTACTCGATAAAACTCATCCACCTATAGCAGGTCGATAAATAACTTTATCACCTACCATAAAAATTTATAAAACATTTTATTTGAAAAATTTATAAACGAACGGGTCAAAGAGTGGGATACCGGGACTATGGAGTGTATTACACTAGCTTTTCAGTATGGAGAGGGAAAAGTGAGCAAAAGCGACTTCAAAAGATAAAAAAAAAAAGGCAAGGCGAACAGAAGGAAAAAAACATGAATATCCTGACCTTGGGCTATTTTCGTTATTGCTGACCAGGCAATGATGAAAAGCGAGCAAAATATAAAAGGGCAAGGCAACCAGAAAAATAAAAAGTGAACCAAATTACTAACAGAAACCTGTTTTCAGATTCGGTAAAGTCGAGCGGAAAGATTGGGAATCTAGTGGGGTGCAAGTCGAAAAGGATTAGATCCAGTTGAGACAACACTAACCGGAACCGTTTTTCAAACCCTAATCCTAACCGAACCCGCCTGTGCACGGGCTAACCCAATTTCTTCACTTCTTTTCATTCTTAAAGAGAGAAAATGTTCTCTCATTTAGAAATAGGCTGATAGGATCAAGATCAACCCGCTAAGGTTAATTACAATGGGGTCGAATAGAAGTTAAATTGAATTTAATTTAAACCACCAAAACCTGAACCCAACTTTCTAACCCAACCCACTTCAACCTTTTCGGGTTTCAGGCCAACCCGGCACGAATAGCCGGGTTTCTTCCCAACAGAGAACTGACTTCATCAAGGGTAAGAAAATTCCAGCTAGTGTACCAGAGGCGGGAGAAGAGAAACAATGATTAGATGGACCTGTTCACGAAAGGAATGATTAAGATCAAAAGTCCACATTCGAGTACGATAGCTTAAAATTACGAACTTTTTATGTTAAAGATCAAGATTCTCGAGATATTATTGTTCAATAAAAATGTTTCCGTTAACAGAGTGATTTTTATTTCAATGTTCAGAGAGGACATTATTTTTCAGTGCAAGACCAGTGTAATCCGTAAGAAGTCCAGATTCCAGAACCCCTGTGTCTGATCTATGAAGAATTAGAGATGGAGTTCAAACTTTTCAACCGAAATCTTCGAACTCGCTCGAGACAGAGAGCCGAAGAGAGTACTAGAGCTCTTCATTAACACAGCAAGTTCACAATCATCGATTTCTATTTCAGTCATCAGATTTACCAATTGATGACATAAAACTCTCCAGAACTACACAGAATTCTCAAGTCGATCATTCGATCATAACATTCGCAACGGCAAAATAATCACCAAGAGTTCACAGAACAATCTAATTTAACTCCAAAAGCAACCAGTCAAAATCTCCAAACCGAACATCAAAAGCACACATCAAATCATTTCAAGCGAAATCACAATCGCCTTGCATTTCTCCACGTAAAGCCTAAAAAATAAACGGAAAGAACACACCTCAGATGTCGATCTTCCAGTTCTCCGTAGCCGATGACTTATTAAACAAGACTCATAAATCCTCCAAGAAATTCACTCAAATCCAAGCCAAAACAATAAATCACAAGCATGGAGGTCTATACTTCAAATATAAACTCACCTTATAACCCTTAAGCCGGAGGTGCAAAGCCTTGTGACTGAGCTTAGATCGACGAACAGAGACAGAGAAGGAGAGAGAATTATTCCAAAAAAAATAACAAAGAAGACAAGAAAAAACAAAGCCAATAAAACACTCAACAGAAGTGCATTCCAAAGAAATGCCTCTTCGTTTGAAGCACAACTCAGTGACGACTGACCATACGAAGGCAGCGAGTTGGAAGCCGAACAACCCCCCCTTATATATTGTCCCAAGCGTTAAACGTCGAGCATCTTTCTTTTCTAAATTATCACAATATGACACGTGGCAAGTAATGAAATTACAGTAAGAAGACAGATTTAGGCAGCAAGAAACAAACGTGTAAGCGACACCATCAACGACAATGTATTGGCGAATACCTATTTCGGTCTAGAAGCAATGTTCCCTGATGCAGGACACGGACTCGTGGTCGTGGCTAACGATGTGCAGTGTAGATGACTTGGCGTATGCAAGTTCGTGTGATGAGATGTACCGAATAATTTTAATCGCATGGGAAGTCGAGCCTCGCAGAATCCCAGTAAATTCCAAAAGTTTAGCGCCAGCTAAAATCTTTTTCAGTATTCACAAGCTGCTCAGACTCAGAAGTCGACTCCGAATCACGTACCGACAATATTAATTGCATCAGAAGTTTAAGGCGATTTGCATCTCACCATATTATAAGTAACACACTTCTGGATTGTTCTTAACCGTCCGATGTACAGATTGTGAACAGATTCTCTATTAGCAAGATTCCAGGTTAAGAGGAAACAGACTTGACGATGCCGATATATCGGATAAGTTTTTAATTGGCTTTTGGTCATGTTGGTTTCCAAAATATTGTGGAACCGCCAAGGCGCCAACGCTTTGTGCCTTTGTGAGTGTCCCTCGTGGGGCCCGGGATGACTGTACGTAGGCCATTCTTTGAAGGACACGTAATAAGTTCAGGGTTCACATGTTTGAGTTGAGACGAAGTAGTCTGCCTTGGCTTTTGAAGTGTATGGAGTAGTCTCCGTAGGTAGACGGAGATCGTAGATTCGTGGAGAGTGGGTAGGTGAACTTGGAGCTAACACGATAGCTCGCAGCTACAGAACAAAATATCTCTGGTACATTCCCACTTAACTTCACATGCTATGTTGCAAATGTGACAATTTCTCTTCACACTCTTCTTGTCGCAAGGAAACTCAAATCCTGAACCAGTTATACAGTTCCACCGTCAGAAGCAAAGTGGATTCTCATCTGACGTTTCAGAGCATTCGTTTTATGCGGGACCCGCATTGATCAAATTAGTAGGACTTTCTATGTAAAGCAGGAGGTGGAGAGCATAATCATTAATCATTTCTTTGAGATTAAAAGGGATTTTTACTGTTAAGTCCACCTTAGAATAGGTCAAATTTTTATTTATTTATATCTCCTCTTATAATTATAAACACCATCCCCTTGTAAACACCATGATATTAATACGATCCTATTGTCGTTGTATTATAAATTCTGACGTGGAGTGAACAACTGAACCATAAAAACCCCTAAAAAAATTAATTAAAGCAATCAATTCTTACCGAAAATGATTGGTTTAAATTGGTTTGTGATTACTACGTTAGGAAAAGAATAATGATTGATGGTTGGCAAATGGGCGGTTGTGATTCAACCAAGGGATCCATGATTTTGACAGCTTTGAATGAATTCTCGGTGTATATTAAATTAAACTTGAGAAAGACGACATCGAGACACATGGATCAAAGAAGGGTGGTGGGAGGGTGGCCCACGTAACTTGTCATCCAAGTCAGATTCTGACATGGCTACCCTGTACAGAACAGACACGTGGGCTTCTAATCGTACGAGTGTGGATAGCTTGATTATTTTATGCAGAAGAAGGGACTATTTGGGAACGAAAGTCCGAAGGTGGGAGGACACGTGTATGGATAGAAGTGGGGGCGGTCTCATCCATCTACCCTTTTGCTTGTTTTTACGGAAAAGTACCAATGCAGATTTCTTATTTACATCGGGGTTATCTCTCATTCTCCCCTTATTCTTACGGAGAAGGAAACACCCGATGCAGAATTCTGAATTCCAGCTCCCTACTATTACCCTTCTCCCCCTATAAACCACATCCAGTCCGTGAATTATTGTCGTGGCCTATTGGGTTCCGTCTAATTATTACCGGTAATTAAATGATTGATGTGGTAGATAAAGATTAGACCCTTCGACTGTGGGACTGACAGCAAGTATGAAGTGTGGGCCCATTGTATGAAAACCGTAGATATTTCGTGTCAGTTTGGGAAATACTAGTTATTTACGTACGTGTTATTATTTAGGGTAAATTATAAAGTCCCTCTGTATTATAGGGTCCACTTCCTGTACTTTGTTTTGCGAGAAAGACCTTGTGCTATAACCGTGAGATAAAAAATCTCGTTAACCGTTAAGATAGATGACAGAATACGTTAAATTATCAAAATACATCACTAAACTTTTCTTTTTTTTTTTTGTCCTTTTTCTTTTAAAATTTATTTAATTTATTATTTTCCCTTTCTTCTCTTCTTTTCCCCTCCCTCACCGTCCTCTCTCATTCTTTCTCTCTTCCAACTCTCATTAACGCCATGAGAAGGGATTCTCTTCTCATCCCCTCCAAACCCAAGCCGCTCTTCTGCCTACAGAGACGCTCTAACCTCGGAGAGTGAGAGGTAGCATCATCATAGCCTACAAGAAACGGTGAGTTAGCGGGAACCCAAATCAGAAACTACAAATTCAGTGAAGATTGCAGAGACAATCTTGTTTGGGACTGGTTCTTATTAACTTATCAGCTGGGCAGCGGGTCTACCCCAACCCAGACCCATTAAAAAGCGAAAAATATTGTATTCGTCTACTAGACAACTGGGTAATATTCTACGGGAAGGGGAAAGATGGGAAGCGGATTGAGCAGTTCAAGCATTCTGAACATGGAATATGAAGATCAGCACCTGGTCCTAGCAATTGGATTCCATTAGTAAGCTTCCGTAATCCTGATAGCTAACACCTGACCCATTTTCTCCGAAGAACAGAGCGAGCGTTGGCCCCTCTAAGTAACAACACTCCCGGCTGGGTTCTTATAACATAATCCAATTCCAGTCTGATCTTGCCTTGTAGTAAGTTTCCGTAGTCCTGATAGCTAAAGCCTGACCCAATTTCTCTGAAGAACAAAGCGAGCGTTGGCCCCTCTTGAGTAACAACACTCCCGGCTGGGTTCTTATAACATGATCCAATTCCAGTCTAATCTTGCCTTGCAGTAAGCTTCCGTAATCCTGATAGCTAACGCCTGACCCAATTTCTCTGAAGAACAGAGCGAGCATTGGCCCCTCTGAGTAACAACACTCCCGGCTAGGTTCTTATAACATGATCCAATTCCAATCTAATCTTGCCTTGCCGTCGTTCTCTCTAAACAAATTAAGCATCGAAATTTACTTTAAACCATAAACCAATGGTGGCTGATGGTAGCCAATAAGCACTCTCCTCTTGTTTCATCTTCGAGGCGAGGAGGAATGCTCGTACCGTTCATGGAATTATGCAAGGGTCTCGGTTCTGATAGCCATAAAGGACAGTCGGAAGTTAACATTCGCTTAGGGTAGAGAGAGAGGAGAGAGAGAGTGTGTGTGAGGTTGGGGAAGATGAACAGTATTTTTCTCATCGTCGAAGGATAGTATAGGGATTAAAAAATATTACAATGGCCTTTTTGGATCGAAGGCTAAGAAGGAGATGTTTGTCTCACGGTCATAGTACATGTTGGGGAGAACGGGGTCACTGTAACTTTAGAGGAGAAGCTCTGAGGTGCATCTGAAGACACCGTCTTTAGAACGTTATCTGTCCCCACTCAGTTTTACTGAGTTTTCTATTGGGTTATACGCAAATTTGTTCCGAGGATACAACAGAGTCTTGGGCGAGAATCTGCAACCAGTAAAGTTGAAGAGTCTCCAAAGAAACCTTCTGTGAGACTGTAGCAGACCGGACAGAGAGAGAGAGAGAGTGAATTTCGAAATTGTGTGTTTTGTAGTCTGATTTATGCTCCTTAAATAATTTGTGAAAAGGTATGAGGAAAAGGTAGGTACTGGTTTAGAAAAGGCACCTTGAACAGTCATAATTTCAAACATTGTGACTGTTGGTGACTATTAACTTTGAATTGTGCCTCTTGATCACACCCGATCGAATCGTGACCGTTGATCTCATCAACGGTGATCAACGATCATCAACACACCAAAACCAGAGCCGCCCATCGCAAGCCACGCGGGTGTGCGCGAAATGCGAGCAAAGTGGCGTGTGCGCGCATTACGCGGTATCAAATCCCCATACTCTCCTCTACTAATTCTAAGGAGTGTAAATCAGCTCCTATTGAAATACTGAAAGCAAAACTTATAATTTTTCAATGTGGGACAAGTTCAAAACTGGGTTTTTGTAAAAGAAAAACTGATTTTTAAATCGTGTAGATGCAATTTCTCATGTAATTGACCAATCAAACCCATTGGATTTAAAACAGTACAGGGGGATCTTTATCGCAAAACAAAGTAGAGGGGGTCTTTGTCACAGACCCCATAGTACGGAGGGTCTTTGTAATTTACCCTATTATTTACGATGCATTGTTGATGTTCTAATCCAACCGTTGTGGTTAAGGGGATGTTCTAAAATCTGAAATATTTTTTTTGAATGGTCTGTGTTTTTTGTATTTTTTTTAGGGAAAATTTCAGATGGGTATCCTATACTTTAGGTCGAGCACTAATTTAGTACCTGAATTTTAAAATAAAAAAATCTAATATCCAAACTTTCATTTTACAACAATTTAAAAGACAAAGAGATCTAAATACCCGCTATTTCAAGTGAACCAGTTACTTCCCATACATGTATGTGCTCGACTTGTGGCAGTGGTGGTCTGGGCGATCTCTCACTATATGTGCTTTGTACATTTATGTGCTCCGTACATGTATGAGCACATCCGATTACTGCGGATGATATTCATGGACGATCTCCGACTTGCAGTTTGGAACTTTCATTTTGAATTTGGCTTGGTCACTGAACGATATCCAAGGATGATATTCACGAAAGCTCCTGTGTCTTTGTTCTGGGTCATCCAATCCATCGGAATCACAAGACCCAAAAGCAGAATCCTTCTCGGCTTCTCCTTCGGATCGACAAGCAGAGGATGAAGTCTCCATCTTGTAGTCAGGTGCT